TTATTTAAATGGGTTAGGCGGGTTGACCCATTTATTTAAATGGGTTAAAAATCTCAACCCAACCTGCTAATTTTGGGTTGGGTTAGCGGATTGGTCAATTTTTACCACCCCTACTCAATCATATCCCATTATGTATGGAGTTTCTATCTATTAAAGCCTAATCGATGGTTTCTAACATTCCATCTTTCATGGAAGACATGTCTTAAAACTCCCTGCATAGCTTACTGTTACTTTTCTTAGTTTGAAATAGTTTCCCGGTCGTTTTTTACCAAACTTTTTACAAAATCTTATATATAATAATAATCTCAAATCATACCCAAATTTACAGCCCTACGGTCCATTATTAAACTCGTATTGAGTTTTTGTAACCGAATATTGTCGAGCCGTCATCACAACAGCTTCTAGCCCAAACCGCTCGACGTACAGACCACCATAGCCACGAGACTTATACCAATGGAAAGATAATTGAAAAACGAAGCCATCCATATGTTATACACTAATTTTGATTGAGTATTTTACCTCCAATCGTCGTTTTTGTGCAGAATGACTCAGTGCCACTCCAAACTAGATATCTCCCTCATTTCTTGATGAAATCCCGAAATTCCAATTGGGTTTACTCCCTTACACCCTAGGAATGATTCCACAAAATTTCAGCACAAAACTCAAACTTATAGGGCATCAAATCGTCTCTGGAATATGAAAAACGTGATTTGGGAAATGATTTCCGAAATCTCAACCATTTCCAAATTAGTTTTCTACTTTTGGCGGAACTAGTTCCTTTTGTTTTCCTTTTTACATTTTTATCTCAAATCAATTAAATACAAAATATTTCATTTCCTTTTTCTCATTGATTTTATTTATTGCAATAAAATCATATTTCTTTTGAGTATCGACACTTTAATCTCGTATGTCGTTTACTCTTTAAAATTTTAACTCTCAACATTTATTTATTTTACAAATCTTAAATTTTAGAGTGTTACACAAGGAGACCTTTGGGTGTGGAGAGGAAGCTCCAATAAAGAAGGCGATGATGTTAATAGGGAAAGAGGGTGTGATAGGGATGAAGTTTGGAGAGACATGTCTTTTCATCAAAGGATACGTAAAGTAATTTTTTGTGTTAATGAGGATAAGAGACCCTCATTGGTTGGGCAAATAAGTAAAAAAATTTCCCCATTATTCCACAAGGAAACATATCAACGTAGTTGTGCGAATAAACCCAGTGAGTTATTAAGCCCATTAAGTCAAAAGCAAACATCCCCTTTCTTACCTTACTGTACTATGTGCTGGAAAGGTACATTATTCATTACATGCCTCCCTTTTCATGTATGTGTGATCTGACTCATGAGACAGTCATGCGTGTAACACCCTCATTTCAAATACAAGGTGCCACATAATAAAATATTAAAATCCAAAACCTAGCGGCTAATAAAGCCTTATTACTGCAGAAATCTTACAAAAATTTAATTGTAATCAATATCTCAAAACTAACTCGTCCCATACTGGGTCATATTACATGTAAATCCAATTAAAATAATAAAGATTTTTATAAATCATAACTTGAATAATAGTTCTATTTCCTATGCTGAACCTTTGACCTTGTCCGTTCTTGAACTTACAGCTCCTGAGATGCATACTAATAGTCAGCTTTACAAAGCTAAGTGAGTTCATGGTTTTTGTGCACAATCATACATATCTCATCATGCATAAAACAAACAATACCCCCAAATACAATAATATGCACATTTGTTTCAAACCCTTTTGAAATAATAATGAGATCTCTTTATTTCGTGTCGGATTAAGGTCTGACCGTCATCTGCACTTCCCCGTGTTACATGGATATCTCTTGTCCAGTCACCCATCCCTAGGATGTGACATCCCTTACGAATTTTGACCCCTTCCCATACCCGACAAAAATATTGACCCGTTTATAACATGCTAATTAATGTTTAAAAACACGTAAACAAATAGCATGCAACCCACAATAATAATTCATGTACATGTAATAAGCCCATAAACATGTACATAAAAATAACCAAATGCTCAAATAATTTGTGCATAAGCATGTATCCCAATTAAAGTCTCATGAAGACTCACCTGAATAGCTCCGTTTAGCTAAACTTCGTCCCTTAATGATATCCTTAACATGTAATTATATTTCAATAATTATAGTATTGACTTTTCCCCAAAAAGTCAATCCAAAAGTCAAATAGGTCAACCTTGGGGTCGGCATGGTCAACGGGTCAACCCAAAGCATACCTTGTCACCATATACCCCCTCCCCAATGGAATTTTTCACATCCAAAATAAATTATGACATATTAAACCCAACATTTAATTATATACGATTCTCGTTATAACAACGTTCAATCCCACAATTATTTAGTCACAACTCCCGAATTAAGTTATTAAATTATTTCTTATAATTTAAATATGAAAATTTAATTAATTAATAACCTTTACAATTGATGTCCAAATTTTGACCAACTTAATCGAAACATCCCGATTTATTTCGGTTAATCCAAGTAAATAAACGAGTCTCAAATCTCTTCTTAACAAATACCGATTTTATCAAAACAAATCAAGTCTAATCGTACTCGACCAAAACAAGTCGTCAACAACCCAAACCTGGTCTAGCATCGGCCGGTTCAACTCGACTCCCGGCCTAACCCGGTCGCACCCTTGGTGCGACAATCGTGAACGACCACGTTTGAGATTGTTTTTTCGACCCTTTTTTGCCAAACTTTTTACAAAATATTATATATAATAATAATCCCAACTCCTACCCAAATTTACAGCCCCTACGTTTCAATATTAAACTCGTATTTTGAGTTTTGGTACATGAATCTCGTCGAGCCGCCGCCACAGTAGCTTCTAGCCCAAACCGCTTGACGTACAGCCCACCATAGCACATGAGACTTGTACCAACAGAAAGGTAACTGAGAAATGAAGCCAACCATATATTATACATCAATTTTGGTTAGTATTTTACCTCCAATCGCCGTTTTTGTGCGGAATGACCCTATGCCGCTCCAAACTCAATATCTCTCTCGTTTATTGATGAAATTCCTAAAATCTAAAGGCGTTTACTCCCTTACACACTTAGGAACGTTTCCACAAAAATTCAGCCGAAAATTCCAATTTATAGGGCATCAAACCGTCCCTAGAAAAGGAAAAACATGATTTGGGAAATGATTTTCCAAATCTCAATCATTTCCAAATTTGTTTTCTACTTTTGGCAGAACCAGTCCCTTTTGTTTTTCTTTCTGCATTTTCATCCCAAATCAATTAAATACAAAATCTTTCATTTTCTTTTTTATTGATTTATTTATGGCAATAAAATCATATTTTTCGAGTATCGACACTTTAATCCCGTATGTCGTTTCCTCTTTAAAGTTTAACCCTCAACAATTATTTATTTTACAAATTATAAATATTAGAGTGTTACAATGCGTACCCCTACGAATCAGATATCAACACATGTACAGAGTTGGTAAAGACTAATGCGACACATATAAATATCATGAGTCTTCATTTGAAGGTGTTGAGCATTACAAGCATTCAAGAGCTATGTGAGAAATAGTGTGTGACAGAAGTCTTCCAACGAGTGCTTTTTGTGCAAAGTATTTTGTGTGTTTCTTTGTATTTCAGATAAGATGTTGAGCATTCAATAGGTTATTTAAGTTAGCTTTTCTTAGATTCTTCCACAAACAATATATACTTCTTTGATCAACTATAAAAGACTTAAATTTGAAAAACTATGTGTTCTACAAACCCTATGTGTTTTGTCATCAAATCCTATTTCAAGAACACAATTAGCCTTGTGGTTTGTACTTCGTTTTAGAATTGGTCCCTGGACTAAACGGCCATCCACGTTGTTTGTTTAACTCAAGGACAAAATGGTCATTTTGCTAGTTTTCCTTTTTTAGCATTTGTAATTATTTTTTTATTTGTTTGAATGTTCATCATCCCTCTCTCTCTCTCTTTTCTTCTTCATCATCTTCTTCTAAAAAGAACCTAAAGCTAAATGAACAAACCATATATCTAAATTAAAAAAAAATATTAAATCTGAATCGACAAAAAACTATTAAAATGAGTCACTCTTTAGTGAAGGAACTCCATAATTCAGTTAATCCTTCAAGAAATATTGATGCATATTATCAAGACCCGCTTTTTTAGTAGGGGGGGGGGGGTTTATACAAAAATCTAATATGTTTATTTAGATTGACTGTGGATTTAATGAAATTTAACGTGAAAAAAAAACCATATATTCTCATATGGAGGAGATTTGTTACAGTAAGATAAGGTAACAAATTTGCTAGTATTACAACATGTGCAACTCAGATAAAATGATAAAGGTGGTTGGAGGGATTATGTGAGGGATAAGCTTTGGCAGATGATAATCTAGTAGAGTTGGCACATTAGATAACGAAGCTTTTCTAGTAAACGTGTGGTGGCTGACCTAAACAACCGCCCGTTTGTGACATAAATGTTTGTGACGCTATCCAATATAGCGTCGTCTTCTTTAGACTTGGATCCATCTAATGAACTTGAACACAACAAATCTCTAAGACATGACATGGAAAGAAGATACAATTTACGTAATGTGATGTTTCTCTAATATGTTGTATGTGCTTATTTTATGTTCGAGAATAAAACAACAAATGAAATCCCAGAATAACAACTGCAACTTTATTAGTCCTGGATGAGGCAAAAGGCAATTATTATTTTTTAAATGGTAAAAAGGAAAAGATAAATACCGAAATGCCTCGAGTTTAACGGACAAATTAAACGGCCGTTTGGTTTAGGGTCTAAATTCAAAACAAAATACAAACCACAAGGTCTATTTTATTAATAAAATAAAGTATTAGGGATCAAAACCGTGAATTTAAGCATACCAGAGGGACTAAAACTATAATTTCGCTAAAATTGTTTGCCGATAGATTCAATTCCTTGCCGGTAAACATTACTGTTTTGGAAGCTAATTCATATCCATTTATATATTCACGAATCTTCAGTGATCTTTTTGTCCACTTCTTATACTCAAACCAGAGAGAGGAAGGAGAATCAATCAATGGCCAAACACGAAGATCTACCAGTTCCAATCTTCTCCAAACTTGATGCGGTTTATGGTGATGGATCACAGCTCGAGGAAGCTGAACTTCGTTTCTCTCTTCTCAACTCTAAATTCAAACAAATCTTCGGTCATCTTCCTGATATCTATGCTCGCGCTCCAGGTGATTTCTATTCTCGTCAACTCCTTTTTGTTTTCCTTGTGTGCGATTGGAAAATTGGAGTGTTTGTATGATTGCTTATGATTGGATTTTTTTATGATACGAATAATGTGTTGTGGGATGATAATTGGAAGCACATTGACTAATAATCACTATTAATCAGTTTTTTAAGTAAGTAAAGATTAGGAAAAATAATTTGATTTTTGTGATCGAAGTGATCGCTTTTTAGAGTAAGGTTTTGATATGAGTTTACTTAATTTTAGTGGAAAGGGCATAGTTTGCTTGTTCCAATTAATATAAATTCCTTCATGTAAAGATTGATGGCTACATTGAACTTTGTTGCAACTACTAAACTACTAAAAGTTGAGAATCTGACTTTGAATTTCAGAAGTGGATTTGAGTTTGACCCAAAAAGTTGATGGATCTCTTTTGGTGAAAAGGAGGAAGGAAGAATCAGATCTCAAACAAGCTTAGAATAAGAATAAAATTATTCCTATGTTGATATGAATACCACATAATGTTTTTAGGAAAAATTTCCAAGCTGAAATGGCCTGATTACATATTGTCATAATTACAATTATAATTGCTCTCAGATTTGGTCCACCAGATCGCCTATTTTGTTGGGACCTAAGGCTATCTTTTTATTTTTGACAAAAAGGAGGATTAATTATAAACTTTAGCAATGTTTCAGGGTAACCCAAATGATGATGAAAAATCTAGAATCAAATGGGTGTTTCCAATTGAGAGATCTGAGTGAAACGAAGATAAAAAGAAAGCCATTGAAGAAAAAAAAATTGAGTCCGAGTTAGGAGGACCAAAGTCTATTAGGGTGCATTAGGCGTCGAGATAGGACATGACAGGATAGCTGTTCAGCATTTGATAAGACAGAACTGGACGGAACAAAACAAGTAAAATGACCAATTTACCCCTAATGAGTTGTTTATATATTTTGATTAATTTATTAATTTATTAAATTATAATAACATAATTACTCTTTATAACAAAATATATGATTAGAAAGTTTTCGTCAAAACAATTAAAATGATACCAAATTAAAAAGCTTACTTAGTTTCCAATTTTTATATTGTCCCTGATCTACATTTTTTTTATTAATATATAATAAATTACATAAATTAATAAAATTATAGAAACCGTATAAAATAATATTTTGTATCAATAAAATGAAAGTTTGAAAAACATAAAATACATTAAATAAAATTTAAAGAATGAATAAAATGTAAAAATGACATCTATTTGATCTTTTAAAAAGAGAATTAAGTTTTATTTTGAGGTTATATTGGTAAAATATTAGTTTGTTCCACCTTATCCCATAGGGTAGGGGTGGAACAGGCCTGTTCCACTTTGTTCCATTATGTTTCTGTCTGTTCCACATAAAAATCTTGCCAAACATGGAACAGGGATCCCTATTCTGTTTTGTCCTGCCTTGTCCAGTGTACCAAACGCACCCTTATAGACATTTGATTTGAAGTAGTACCCTTTTACTAAACCATGTGTAGAGTCACAAATTGTAACTTTTATGGGACCTCTGATTACCAAGTTTGACTTTTATGATTAAAATGATTCAGCTCCAGAGTAACGTCTGTATGTTCTTGAGGAACCTGTCTTGAGTGTAGTTTGATTCATCGTTCTTTTTCTCTAACATTTCAGATAGACTTGTTAACATAAATTTAGTTGGTCCTACTGAGTTAGCATGACAGTGATGATGGCGAAGTTTTAATCTTTGCAACTGAGTTCAGTTCATATCAATTATTCAGTGCAGCCTGCAGGCGCATGTACATGTGTTTATGGTATTTTTATGTTCTTTTTAGTGACATTAAACTCATGCAATATTGTTTTTGGAATTAAGGAAGAGTAAATTTGATTGGGGAGCACATTGACTATGAGGGGTATTCGGTGTTGCCCATGGCGATTAGGCAAGACACGATAGTAGCCATTCGAAAACGAGATGCAGGGGAATCTGAAAAGCTTCTTAGGATTGCGAATGTTAGTGACAAGTATACAATGTGTACTTATCCTGTTGATCCCAACCAGGTAAATGGTTCTTTTATGTTGCAAAAGCAGAGATATTATTTGTAGCTTCCAGATCTGAGCAGGTAAAGTGCCTTGTGTTTTGTTTCGCCTCTTTTGTTTCATATTCAAGTCAACTAATTTAGGATATCTAAAGTCTATTCATGATCATGCATTAGTGCTGGCTTTACTTTTGCATGTAGACGAGCTACATTTGGAAGTATGACAATCTAGTACAGAATGTCCGACTCACTCTGTCAGTGGGTGCCAGCTGCATAACAGCAGCAATACATATACTCCGTAGTGTTTCAGACCTTTACGGCAAATTATTGTATCTTCTTTAACCTTTCTTTCCCTTTGGACCACCTGTAAAATGTATGGCATTCAATTAGCTTATAGGAGAGCTTGAGAAGCATCGATCTCTCCTAAGAGTTCCATATCGTGGATTGTTGCAATTTCTCTACTGACAGAGAAATTAGTTTTCAGATTTTTGGCTTTTGATTAGAAAATGCATAAACTGTCAACAGAATTATTCAAGCACTTAATCTTTAAAAATTCACACACAACAGACTCTTTTTGAGCTATCTTATAGTGGTACTGGCTGTGTTATGGGTGTCACTAAACAATCACAATAGAAGAAATCCAAACAAACATGCCCTTAGTTGACCCAACCATGATTGTCTGTTATATGAGAATCGGTTTTGAGAAGACTAAGAAAATCATCCATACACTTAGCATGCAATTTTAATGACACGGACAAAGTTATATGAAGGTCATTGTAGAGAATGGAAAGTATGTTCATCACATTTATTCCTTTTATTGATTAGCCATAGCCTGATACCCAAATTTGGGTGGCAGGAGGGTCTTTGGAAAGTAAAAAAGGCTGCAAATATAGTTCGGTAACAGAGTGAATATTGAGGAAGAAAAACTTCCGATTTTTCTATATTCTTCTCCACACAATTACACATTAATTTATACAGGGAATTGGTAACAAACTATCCTATCTTGGGCCTTAATTCACGGCCCCAATAATATCTATACTATAATTACCTCAAATCTTATCTATCTTTAGAAGTTGCTCTCGTTAACACTCCCCCTCAAGGTGGAGAATGTATATCCAACATTCCCAGCTTGTCAAGAGAGCACTCGAACACTCTCCCACACACTGCTTTCGTTAACATATCCGCCAGTTGATCTTCTGAGCTTACATGTGGTAATTCTATTGTTTTCCGCTCCAGGTGGTCCTTCAAGAAATGCCTGTCAATCTCAACATGCTTAGTCCTGTCATGTTGAACAGGATTATTTGCTATCTTCACAGCTGATTCGTTATCACAATAAAGTTTAATAGGGCTCGTTAGAGATACACCAATGTCTCGAAGAATTCGCTTTATCCATAGTAGTTCGCATACACCATTCACCATTCCTCTATACTCAGCTTCTGCACTTGATCTTGAGACCACCTTTTGTTTCTTACTTCTCCAAGTAACCAAATTTCCCCCAACAAAAGTGAAATACCCTGAAGTAGATTTACCGTCTGTTCGGTCACCTGCCCAGTCTGCATCAGTGTATCCCTTCAAACTACGGTCTTGATTCTTCCCAAAAAACAGCCCTTTCCCAGGCGTAGCTTTAAGATATCTAAGAATGCGATATACTGCCTTCATATGTTCTTCACTAGGAGCATGCAYGAATCTGCTGACAACACTCACAGCATATGCAATGTCGGGCCTCGTATGCGACAAATAAATAAGTTTTCCAACAAGCTTCTGGTATCTCTCTTTATTAGTTGGAACTTGATCAGGTAATATAGCCAGACGATGATTTGTTTCAATCGGAGTGTCGATAGGCTTACAATCAAGCATCCCAGTTTCTGCTAACAGGTCTAGTATATATTTCCGCTGGCACATATTGATTCCAGTTTTTGATCTTGATACTTCAATACCCAAGAAATACTTAAGCTCACCCAAGTCCTTTAACTCRAATTCAGTAGCAAGTTTTGCTTGAAGTTTAGCTATTTCTTCATTATCATTACCTGTTACCACCATATCATCTACGTATACTACAAGAGCTGTAATTTTYTTGYTTTTATTTTTAACAAACAAGGTGTGGTCTGCATCACTTTGTTTGTATCCAATCTTCTTCATAAACGMCGAGAACCTACCAAACCAAGCTCGAGGTGATTGCTTCAGCCCATACAATGCCTTTTTTAGCTTACAAACTTTCCCATTAAAATTCATACCTGGTGGAGCCTCCATGTAGACTTCTTCTTCTAGATTCCCRTTTAGAAACGCGTTTTTTACATCAAATTGTCTTAAGGGCCAGTTTTCGTTAGCCGCTATGGAAAATAGCACTCTTATTGTATTCATCTTTGCCACCGGGGCAAAGGTGTCCCCGTAATCAATCCCGTATTTCTGTGTRTATCCTTTAGCYACGAGTCTTGCCTTGAACCGGTCGATATTTCCACTTGAGTCTAACTTCACAGTGAATATCCATCTGCACCCTACTACTTTCTTTCCATAAGGCAGCGTTACAAGTTCCCATGTATGATTTTTWCTTAGGGCGTCTATCTCTTCCATGATTGCCTTCTTCCACCTTTCATCTTTYATAGCTTCATACACATCTCGTGGTATCAAAACTGTGGACAATTCGTTAATTATCGCCATGTGGGAGCTAGCTAAGCGATGTTGCGAGACATAATTACCAATAGGATACTTAGCTTTTGCCTTCAAGTYAGCTTGGTATTGCGTCTTTGGAATTCCTCGAGTACTTCTTACTGGAAAACGTGGTTCAGAGTTACCGCCAGCGTGTACCTGGTCTTGGGCTGCATGTTCTTGGGCTTGTGGTTCGTTTYCCWGCACAACATCAGACATAACACCTTCATTATTAGTTAGATTGTTAGTTCGATCCAGCCCATGAATGGTATTATCATCATCAGATTCCGTTTCAGGTTCTTCTTCGGGATCCGATTCATCTTGATAATCCGTATTCTGATGATCCGGTTCGACTTGATGATCGGTATTTTGATCACAAGTTTGAATTTCGAACACTTCAGYGTCAAGAGTGTTCACTTCTTCGTTTCTCTCCCCCTGAAGTGAACTCTCATCTTTAAAGAATGGAGTGRTTTCATGAAACGACACATCTCGGGATACATATATCTTTTGTTCGATTGGATTGTAGCRCCGATAACCCTTTTTATGAGTAGCATATCCTATGAACACACATCGAACAGCCCTTGGTTYAAGTTTTCCTATATTTTGATGCACATATGCCGTACATCCAAATATTCGTGGCTCAAGTCCAAGGTTAATAGGTTGTTGCACAAGCTCTTGAAGTTTTTKCAAAGGCGTGGAAAAACCAATAACACGAGAAGGCATTCTATTCATGAGGTATGCCGCGGATCGAACTGCCTCACCCCATAGATTTCRTGGTACGTTCATGTCGAACAAGGAGGCACGTACGATTTCAAGGATTTGTCTATTTCTACGTTCAGCCAGTCCATTCTGCTGGGGGGTTCGGGCACARGAGGTTTGATGTCGGATAGAGTTTTCTTGGCAAAAAACCATCATGGCATGATTTATGTACTCACCTCCGTTATCGGACTGTAATATTTGGATCTCTCCTATATTCAGTCTTGATCAGGTTGTACAGTTCTTTAAATGCAAACGATACATCCCCTTTATTTTTCAGCAAAGAAATCCAGATCATCCTAGTACACTCATCCACAAAAGTCACAAAATAACGAGCTCCACTGGGGGTGGAGATTGGGGCAGGCCCCCATACATCTGAATGTATTTTTAAAAAAGGAACAGAGACTTTATTMTCACTAGGAGTATACGAAATTCTTGTGTTCTTTGCCAATTCACAAATACCACATCTAAAATCACGTTCATGAAAGCTCAAAAACAAATTCGGTTTCAACYTTTTCAAATAACTAAAAGATAAATGTCCTAAACGACGGTGCCATAACATTGCCATAGACTTATTYGCCTCCTTTATTCCGGTATGAAATGCTTGACTCTTAATATTCTCTTCGAGATAATACAACCGCCCCCTTCTAGTACCATAGCCAAGAATCTTGTGTGTCTCTATGTCCTGAAACACACAGTTATTTGGCCAGAAAATGACATAACAATTCAATGCTTCTGTGATTTGACTGACTGAGAGTAGGTTAGAAGACAAAGATGGAACAACAAGAACCGAGTCCAGATTCATAGAACTTGACACCTGTACAGCCCCTTCACATGTCACTTTTTCAAGTTYCCCACTCGCAGTTTGTATTATACTTTGTTTAGGTGCATGTAAAGTTGTCAAAAGGTTTTTATCATTGACCATGTGGTCTGTAGCACCTGTGTCAATTATCCAATTACTAATTTGTTTTTGGTTTTGATGAGACATACCAGAATCAGTCGTACTGGTGTGTGCAGCCATCGGAGTTTCTTGAGCCGAGGTTSCAACAGTGGCTTGACTGAGCTTCTTTCTAGGYTTTTTCGTGAAGTCCCACCACTCTGGATAGCCTATAATCTCGTAACATCTTTGCTTTGAGTGGCCTTCTTCGCCGCAGTGGGTACACGTAAACGAGTTCTTCTTCCCATTAGAGTTCTTTCCCTTTGGAGGSCCGTTGCGTGAGACCATATGTACCATGCTATCGGGTTCAACCTTTGGTTCCTCCATTGTCTGTCTTTGGCTGGAGTCTCTTCGAATGTATGCATAGCTAGACTCCAAACTCATGGGTGGGTCCTTCCTTAGGATTTCACTTCTGGCTAGGTTAAACTCGGAGTCCAACCCAGCCAATAATATGTGTACACGGAGACGAGTCATTGTTTTATTCCCGGACACAGTGCCATCGACAGTCTCCTCTTGCGTGGTAATTCGAGTATCAATTTCTTGGAAGATGCTTACCAATTCGTTGTAGTATGTCGGTAGAGGACGCCCATTCTGCCGGGTGTTGAAAGACCGGCGGTTCAATTCGAATAGYTGAGTTTCATCACTTCCGTCGTAGAATGTTTTTCCGACTGCCTCCCAGATTTCAGCCGCCGTTTGAAGCCGGATAAAGCGGCGGATCAGGGACGGGTTCATGGAATCAATTAGCCAGCTCTTGACACGATTATTGTCAATCAACCAAGATTCGAGTTGTTTCGCATCGCCGTCGGTGGGCTTCGGGGTTTTTCCGGTGATAAAGCCGGATTTGTTACGTGCCCCGATGCGCATCTCCATTAGTTGAGACCACAACGGGTAGTTCGTATCGTCGAGGGTAATGCCGGTGGGGAATGGTGCGTCTTGGACATTCTGGACGATCACCGGGTTTGAGGTTCTTTCTTTATCGGACGCCATTCGTAGATTGCAGATTCGAGGGATTCAGATCAAGTTCAGCGATCTTTGGGAGGCTCTGATACCATATAGTTCGGTAACAGAGTGAATATTGAGGAAGAAAAACTTCCGATTTTTCTATATTCTTCTCCACACAATTACAGATTAATTTATACAGGGAATTGGTAACAAACTATCCTATCTTGGGCCTTAATTCACGGCCCCAATAATATCTATACTATAATTACCTCAAATCTTTTCTATCTTTAGAAATTGCTCTCGTTAACAGCAAATATGTTTGACATAAGCATCTCACTTTTGATATGGTTAGTTATCCATGAAGATGTTGCAACTGAAATACATCTTGCTTGCTAGCCAATGGTTGTGGCAAATTGATTTCTCTTGGAGTTTTTTTCATTGGCTGTCATTCCTACCATACCAACACATTATCCATGGCCCAACTGCAAAATTGATGTCATGTAGCTGCAATGCATCAGAAAAAGAGGATTAAAACAGCCAATATCTGCTTCTACCTAGATTGTAGTTTGTCTATGATTTTTAATGTATTTCTTCACTACATAAACAAGTGATATAGTTTCCTATAAAAATGAGAAGCTCAATTCAGGAAAACAATAGTAAAGAGGAGACAGTGTGCCACTCTATAAGAAAAAGGTGATGTATAGTAGTGTGGCAACTATCAGGGTATAAAGTTACTTAGCCACACCATGAAATTATGGGGAGCATATGATTGAAGCTAGGATGCGGTGTGAGACGAAGGTCATGGAGAAGCAATTTGGCTTCATGCCACGACGGTCGACGACGGAGACAATCCACCTGCCTAGAGGCCTCATTGAGAAGTATAGAGGATGTAATAAGGATTTACACATGGTGTTCATTAATCTAGAGAAGGCCTATGATAGCATGCCACGATACATGATTTGGAACAACTTCGGAAAAAGGGGGTACCATGGAGATAAGTTAAGACGATTCAGGATATAGACAGTCGGACTAGGACTTGTCTTAGGACCCCCGCTGGGTGATAAGAAGGTTCACAGTGAATATAGGACTCCATCAAGGATAAGTACTAAGTTCATTCCTATTTGCTGTAATTTTTTATGGGATGTCCCCACAAGTCCAGGGTGTATCCCTTGGTGAATATTATATGCGGACGACATTGTATTGGTTGCGGAGTCAAAAGTGGAGGTGAACGAGAGGTTGGAGCGGTGGAGGGTGGCACTGGAAGCACATGGCCTGCACATTATGAATACAAAATATGTATGGGGCAATTCAGCAAGGAGTATATTGACGAGAGGTTGGAACTCAACATTGGGGGGCAAGGGTACCTCAAAAGGACAGTTTTAAGTATCTAGGCTCTATGATTCAAAAGGAGGGAGAGACCGAGGATGACATACCTCATTGGTGGCTAAAGTGGAGAGCTGTCACATGGGTGTTGTGTGACAAGAAGGTCGCGCTAAAACTCAAGGGAAAATTTTACAGGGTAGTCATCATACCAACTGTGTTATATGGTTCAGAGTGTTGGGCGATAAGGAAGGCCCACGAACGGAAGATGGGAGTTGCAGAAATAAGGATGTTTAGATGGACCTGTAGTAAAACCAGGTTTGAAAGGATATGCAACAGAGTTAGCCTATTATAGATAAGTTTAGGGAAGGAAGATTACAATGGTTTGATCACATTAGTAGGAGATAGATGGCGGCTCCAGTGAGGAAGATAGAAAGGGGACGGTTGAGGGGCAAGGAGGAGGGCCAGGCAAAGGACATGGGAAGAGCAACTTAGGTTGGACATGGCCGCTTTAGGTATTTTCATGGACATGGGCTCATATTGGAGCTCTCGGAGGCTCAAGATTAGGGTAGTGGGCTAGGGATGGGGAGCTTTAGCTAGCATAGTCGAGTGAAAGGAGCTTGAGAAGTAGTGGGTTAGAGATAGGGCTAGTGAGTTGGACTGGGGGTGCCAGGTGTTTATTTTTCTTGCTTATGTTTCTCGTGTACTTGCTTCTATATGTTAATATTTTTGCGTATCTATGTTTCTTGCTTTCACTTATTTTTCACAAACTGGGGTCTTCATGGAAACAACCGCTCTACTCTTTTGAGTAATTTGCGTACATCTTAGCCATCCCATATCCTACCTGTGGGTGGGACATACTGGTTTCATTTTGCTTGGTTTTAACGGTAAAGAGGAGGGCCTCTGCTGCCTATTCTTCAGAGATGTGGTTGCTCCCTACTCATTGCTTAGTCTCCTGATGCACAATCAAGTTTGCAACCTAACATCACATTAACATGTGTGTCAATTACCTAATATCATATGAGTTCCACAAAGAATGTTGATTACATTCGGTTTTTGGGAAGAATGTAGCTGCTTAAGATGCAGCCAACTTAGCTGCATTTTCACTGAAACGCAAAGACTATTAACTTTGGTAGTCGTGTAAAAGTAGTTGAAGACTACCAACTGTGGTAAACTCTTTAGAAAAAGTTGAAGATAGCAATGGTGGTAATCTTTGTAAAAATGGTTGAAGTCTACCACCAACGTTGTTAGTGTTTGTAGTTAGTGAAATTGCAACCAAGTTCGCTGCATCTCAAATAACTATGTTTCCCCTTGGTTTGTTTGCATAATACAATTGTTGGTTAGTGCGTTGATTGGAACTAATATTGGAGTAAAGATCAGATTATCATGTATGCAATCAAAATTGCAGCAGCCTTTGGAATTTGTTTTTTTGCTTGTAAATCTCACTTTCAAATAGCAGTGTTGTATTTGTGAAGGAATTTTATATTTGCCAACCTCGTGTTATGCAGGAGATTGACCTGAAGAATCATCGATGGGGACATTATTTTATTTGTGGGTGAGAAATTATGAATTCTACAAAATCGTGCTACCTAGTCATGGTTGAACAATTGATATTTAACGATATTGTTGATATGCAAGCATTAGCATGCTTCTGATGTGAAGGCAAGGGTGGTTTTATTTTGAATGGTCTACAATACTTTGCACGGTGTTGAGTTTCACATGGATGATCAGGTCTCTGCCATTTGCGGTTGTATTCCATGAGCAATTTTCCCAAGTCTTCTACAACAGTGAACAATATGGACTCGTTATATTTTGATCCTTTAAAAAAAAAAAGTTGCTCCTTGACCATCATTTCTGTTTCTGTTCTGATGGTCATATGCATAGACTTGTTCAGATTGAACCATTGTATCATTTGTGACTTAGGGGCCGTTTACCAAACACTTACCCGGTAAGCGCTTACTAGTAAATTTAACACTATCATTTACTTACCGGATAAGATTTTAGTCCACCAAAACAGTATCGTATGCAACAATTTATCCGGTAAGCGCTTACCATGGTAAGAGTCGTCGCCTTCACTTACCGGGTAAGACTCATGGTCCTTGTCTCGCTCTTACCGGGTAAGATTCTTGATCCTTACCATATTCATCCGGTAAGATAAAATGACTTGATGTTCACTTACCCGAGTAAGCGTTTGGTAAACGGCAGTGTCCTTGTTAAAGGATCATTCATATGACTTGCTGTTATTATGGGTGTGTGATAAATCAGGGTTAACCCTACGAAACTTGAACTGGGACCTGAAGTTTAAAAGAAGCAGCTAGTCTTCTAACTTTTTATGATTCATAGTCCGTATGTAGTTTCAGTAGTGGATGGCTACCAGTTTCTTCATTTATGTGATCCTTCACATGTGAACTTGGCTCTTTGTTCCATGTTCTAAATGGTTGTGGGAATCTAAAGTTCCCAGATGGATCTGTACCTTTTCTGTAGTTAACATTACATAAGGGATTTGTACAGGAGTACGCAATGATATTTGATGAGTATTTAAATGATGGTTACTCTTGTCAGAACCGATTCACAACTACTTTTGCAGAAACTTATGGTCTATATTCTGCAGATACAAGGGTTTCTATGAATATGCTAGATCAAGAGGGCTGGATGTGGGTTCACCAGTTGGACTTGATGTTATCATTGAGGGAACAGTTCCTACAGGTAACAATTCTGTTCAGTTGCATTCGGAATCACATTGTAAATATTTTTCATGTAAAGTTTAATGGTTCCACTTTTAGTACTGAAAAGAATTCCATTATTGTCTTGGCTTGATCTCTTTCTTGCCTATGCAGGGTCTGGGCTGTCAAGCTCCGCAGCTTTGGTGTGCTCTTCTACAATTGCCATAATGGCTGCCCTTAATGTCAATCTCACCAAGGTATTCTGAGCATCTCTTAATACTTGTACATATTGCTTATTTGAACCAGCAAAATTTGTATGTTTTCTGTTGCCACAAGTGAGACTAGAACTTTGCTTTCTTGGGTCACTTCAGTTTCTTTCTTTAAGTTGTGCTGATGCCAAAAGCTAGGCGACAAATATGCAATAAGATGTAGAGTTTTGTCCTTCTGACCAGTTAGCTCCTTCGATACAAGAAACTGCTTAGATAAGAGGTATGATCATCTAAGCATGACTATACTAAATTAAGATGATCTGGATGATATTCTCTCATAACATGGGCTATGATGCAAATTGAATGCTTCAGTGAGTACATTAGTGCTAAAATGATGATCGAATAACTGGATTTATTGAAAGCCAGCTTTTGAGATGCTGGAACTCTTCCAAGGATTTCCCCTATACAATGAATTATAAAAATGCCCTAACTCTGCGGCCCTCTCTCTTAATGATCACTGGCCCACCTGCTAAATGACTTCCCACCTAGCCGACTTTGCTAACTCTTGGATATTACAAAATTGCCCCAGCTTGTTGTTAATAAAATGCCTCTGTTCTAATTCTTCTTCTTCAGCGCGCAAGTCCATTTAATTTGCAGTCTAAAAGGCCACTTGAAGGTGTGACCTAATTTGAATTGATGGATTATTAAAAATATCGTGGCTCCATATTTTCTGTTTAAAAATGATTTGTCTGCAACTCAATCAGTTTTATATTTGTTGCTCGTCAAGTAGGTTCTTTTGATACTATTTATCTATTATCTAATTTGTCAGTAATATGAGACCTTTTCAAGTGTCTGCAAAATGTTGTCTTATAACAATTTTCTTTTTCTCGATCACAGAAAGAACTTGCTCAACTTACATGTGAATGTGAAAGACACATTGGGACACAGTCTGGTGGAATGGACCAGGTACGTACGTATCCATAGCTTATCCTTGAAGATAATTAATTCTGGGGTAAATCCCAGAAATGTGTATCATGCTGGTAAAACACATCTGAAAGTTGTCAATGGGTTAATTTTAGCATATCACAATCAGTCCAGGGTAAACTGATTGTAGCAAATGCACTTAATTAGTTGTTTGGATATTCTGATTTAGGAAGCAATTTGCAAATCAATCTATGAATCTATGTCTCTATGGTCATAACCTTTTGTCGTTACTGAATTAGGCAATATCCATCATGGCAAAAACTGGGTTTGCTGAGCTGATAGATTTTAACCCAATTCGTGCAACCGATGTGCAACTTCCTGCTGGCGGGTCTTTTGTGATAGCCCATTCATTGGCTGAATCACAGAAAGCAGTAACTGCTGCAACAAACTACAATAATAGAGTTGTTGAGTGTCGTTTAGCTTCAGTAAGAATCAAAACACTTGTTTTATGTTGTCTCTCTTCATTCATTTTGCTTCCGTAGAACAAGATTCTTTATGTGCCTAGTGGTATGATTATTGCATGGAATACAAATGATTTACACATGTTTCATGACTTTTGCTATTGGTAGCTTCTATTCATTTATTATTATCGTCATCTCTTAGGTACAACAAAGTCATGATGACATGCTTATCAAAAGCCCAAAGAGCAACAACCATGAAGCATTCCCCGGCCACAACTAATTAGATATACAGACTAAAACAACTCCAATTCACACAAAAACTACTTGTACATTGTGGCCATTACAGATCTGATAAGTTTATAATTTACTCCTAATCACACCACATGATTTTAAATAGAACCCCACATGCCATTTGTCAGTTATTATTTATTTGTGAAGACTTGAATATTGAAAATCCATATTTAGCTCGTTTAAGCCCACTATTTGCTATTTTTTTCTGCCTATTTTCCATTTTTCCTAATCATCATTGTATTTTGGAAACTTCAGGTTGTACTTGGCATAAAACTCGGAATGGAGCCTCAAGAGGCAATATCAAAAGTGAAAACCCTTTCTGACGTAGAAGGTTTATGTGTATGCTTTGCTGGCACTCGTGGTTCTTCTGACCCCATCCTTGCTGTTAAGGTATTGGACTACCTATTTATGCTTCCTTTTAATGGAAAACTTGGTTTGTTTTTAGATTCAAGGCAAATTGCACCAAAACGGGACCTAACTCTGTTTTTAATTCCTATGTTGGGAACCAACTTTCAAAACCTTCGTTTTCAGAACTTCTTGTTTAAGGTTTGGGGATATATCCATTTGGTGCATTTATCCTTTTAATTACTGCAGATGTGATTATTTCGTCATACTCCTTGAACAGTGATTGATGCCAGGTGCCTGGATTTTTCTAATCTTTATATTCGTATATAACTATTTCTGTTGCAGGAATATCTGAAAGAAGAGCCATATACGGTCGAAGAAATTGAGAAAATAACTGCTAAAACCTTGGATGCGATATTCGCTGACTCAGCTTCTTCACTAGATGTGCTAAAAGCTGCCAAGCATTACAAGTTATTCCAGGTAATTATTTATCTAATCCTAAGCATTTTGTCTCAAATATCATCTGCAATTATTCTTGAACTTCACATATTTGTTTTCCCGGTCTATTTACTTTGTAATTTATACTTCTTTTTTGACTGAATGCTTGTTAATTAGTTACATTGAATTGAAGTTGTGGTAATTTTTGGGCTTGGAAGTTTGATCCACGTTGTTTTTCATTACGATACATTTCTACCAAAACCAAAACCACCACCTCCAACTTTCCTATTTTAAATTTGTTATAGTTTACTTGCGTTCATGATACTTTAACGTCTTGTTATGTATCTGGTTTCCGGAACTTTGCATTCAATTTAGAGATTGCATTTGGCAAGCATTCAGACCCTTATGAGAGTGTCTGGCTAAGGGGCCGTTTACCTAAACACTTACCCGGTAAGCGTTTAACGGTAAAATTCAACTATATCGCTTACTTACCAGGTAAGATTTTAGTCTAGCAAAACAACAACATATGTAACAATTTACCCGGTAAGCGTTAACCGTGGTAAGAGTCGTAGCCATCATTTACCGGGTAAGACTCTCGGTCCTTGCCTTATCTCTTACCAGGTAAGATTATGGGTCCTTGTCATACTCATCCGGTAAGGAATGTGACTTGGTAAAGGCTTACCCGCATAAGAATAATGTAAACGGCCTCTAACTCTACTATATTAGTCATTCATCTGTGAAGTTTGATGATCCATGGGCTTTTGGCTAAACTTTTCCACATTCGTCTTGTTAGAGAGCCTCTCATGTGTACTCTGAAGCAAAGCGTGTATATGCTTTCAAGGACGCGGTATCATCAAATTCTGAGTGAGTCTGTTCATTATCCATAGCCTATTTTCATGTGATGTTTCATATATGAAACAACACGTGTGAAAATGCAGTGTTGGTTCATGACTGTTTTCTTCCACACCCAAAAGTCTTGAATGTTTCACTTATGAAACAACATTATATTTTCACTTGTTGTTTCATATGTGAATCAAGTGAAAATTGGTTTGTAAATTTGTACAATTTATTAGGTTTGTGAATGGTTATGCATATGTATACATATAAAACACGTTTATATCTGTTTAAATATAGAAAGATGTTTTTGCAGCGAGGAGGAGATGTTGAAGAAGCTTGGGGACCTTATGGATGATAGCCACTATAGCTGCAGCGTTCTATTCGAGTGCAGGTATATATATATATATATCTATATGTATGTATGTATGTATGTATGTATGTATATGTATGAATATATATATATATATATATATGTATGTATGTATGTATGTATGTATGAATTTATCCCCTGGGTTGGATTTGGTGACAAGGAGAGTTAAGGTGACAAGCATAAGAAGAGACCTCCACCCTTGGGGATGAGATGCACCAAGATGTACCGGATTAATCCCCATATCAAGCAGGATTCATGAGTGGGTTTGCGATTAAAGAGGATTAAGAGTCCAGATCTCTTCGTACGCTTCTTAACTTAACTTTCCTTCTCACAGGGTGCTTTGCCTCTAGCCCTTACCCTTTATATGTATATATATATATATATATATATAGAGAGAGAGAGAGAGAGAGAGAGAGAGAGAGGTGAAGGATCCCCTATGAGAAAGGAAGTTATGATGGGAAGTGTAAGAAAAGATCTGAACCCTTGATCTCTTTTAATCTCATGTCCATCCATGAATCGCATTTTAGAAGAGAATTGATCATGTGCATCTCGGTGTACCTTATTAGTGTTCACATTCAATTAGGATTGATTCAAGGGTGGAGATATCTTCTTAGGTTTCTCACCATAATTTCGTTTATCACTAGAACTCTCTCTCTCTCTCTATATATATATGTTTTGAGAAGAAAAATGCAAAAGGTATTGAATATAGTTAATAACGGAAACAGTTGTGGGGAGCTTGAAGAATTGGTTAAGGTTTGTAAAGCCAATGGAGCGGTAGGAGCGAGGCTTACCGGTGCAGGATGGGGTGGATGTGCAGTTGCTCTGGTCAAAGAAACCATCGTCCCCCAATTCATTCTGAATCTAAAGGTCATTTTCCTTTCCTTCTTTATTCACTTATGAATATTCACTAATTAATATTTTTATATAAATTTCAGGAGCAATTCTATCAATCCAGGATTGACAATGGGACTATCAACAAGGCTGATCTTGGTCTCTATGTATTTGCATCAAAGCCTTCCAGTGGAGCTGCCATTTTCAAATTTTGATTTCCCTTTTCACTCTACACATAATTATCAATCATCACCTTTTTATGTTACAAACTTATCATTTACCCGATGACGTCTGTCCCACCATTCAGATTATACAAGGATCGGTTCTGATACCATCCAAAACCTACAACAACATGCTGACCCAATAACTTTGAATTCAACTTAAAACCATGGTGAAAGTTGTTGGTAGTCCACAACTTGAGACTTTCAAATCCCATTTCCTATCCACATGGGACGAGTTGTTATAAAGATGGGTGGACATTCCCCAATGAATGAATGTCAAGAAGTTGATGGCTAGACTAACTCCATAGCTGGCTGGTAAAGATTCGCATATGGTTATGGATTGCTGTAGACATAGGGGACTCTTGATTCCTCTACTTCTCGTCACCCGTCTAACAAAGAAATCTAGTAGATCTCGAGAAACATTTCGATTAGTTTGATAAATACAACACTATTTACCCTTAGACAAGAAATGTCTACCTCTTATTTTGATACAAATCATTCTTTTCTAAGCTAGATTCAACAAGTTCCCCATTTAGGCTTTATTTAAATCTGTCAAGCCATTTTAGACCAAAAAACAATCGCCACCAAGACATAATTTAGACATAATAGAAAGAGAAAAGATGACGATGCCTGCAATCATGCAAGATTCGTCATACGCAAGTAGAAGATGACGAGAAGACATTTGAAGGAGAATCAGTATTCAGATTCAACATTTAACACGTAGCAGATTGTTCTGTTGATGCAAGTGTGCGAAAATCAATTTTTATTGTTTTATAAACACTTAATATTCCCGTTGTTTTGATGATTGACAAATACAAATTAAAAACCCGATTTCTTTCTGTTCTAACAATTTAATTTGTCTTGTGAAAGAATCAGTCATTATCTTTTCTGTAATCATTGAAATGGGTGTGTAAGCATCAAATTCTGCTAATAGAACTGGAGTTGGAAAGCGTGCCTTCTTACGAGTTTCATCAAATTACATTTCAAGAAAAAAAAAAAGCAGCCAAAATCCTAATAAAACTTAAATCCAAGCAAGATCCGAGTTGTGTATTGTCTTCAGTTTCTTTAATTAGTAAACACTTTTGAAATATCGCTGAAAATTCTTGGATAAATTTTTATAAAATAATTCAAAGCCCTTTTTAATATAAAATCTTGAAATCTAAAAAGTAATCTTTTCTTTATCATGATCATGTTGGTTTTTTTTTTCAAAGAATGTGACATTTTGCTTTTTAAAGAAAAGTTGCATTAAATAGAAAGATGACTCATTAAATGGTGATAGCTGGAAAGCACAAGGCCCACATCTGCTTGAACCATCTGAACGTCCACATTGAAATCTGATCTGACATGACAGTACTTTTCAAACGATCATTTTCTAGAATCCTTATTGCAGACGTCGGCTTAAATGATTAAGACATAGGTGACAATCTAAGACACCTCATTAGTTTTGAAATTCCATCAAGCATCTTTCAATCATCTTCTATCATCTACTACCATTTCATCATCAATTTATCCCTAATGAGTTGTTTATATGTTTTGAATAATTATGTAATTTATTAAATTATAATAAAATAAATATTTTTTATAACATAATACATCATTAAAAAGTTTTCGTCAATATGATATCAAAATAAAAAAAATCATGTAGTTTCTAATTTTTATTTTATACCTTTTCTATATTATTTTTTTTACTATTAATATTTAAATAATTACATAAATTAATGAAAATACAAAACTGGAAATAATATTTTGAGGACGGTAAAGTGAAAGTTTTAAGAGCATAAAATACAAGAATAAAATTTAAAGAATGAATAAAATATAAAGAGTAAGGTGTGTTTGATATTTTATAAGTTTTATTCTAAAGTTATATTGCTAAAACATAAGTCTCTTTCACCTTGTTCCAGCTTATTCCATGGGGTGAGGGTAGAACATTCGCTTCCACTTTGTTTCACTCTCTTTATATCTGTTCCACATAAAAATCAGAATCAGCCTGTTTTTTTTCATCCTTAAAGTTGTCGGAGAAAAAGATTATATTAGTACCAACATTGGTTAATGTTTTTAAAAGTTTGTGTTTAATGTTAAAAAATTCGATTTCTTAACGAAATAGTGAACTGAGTTTTTTTTTTTGAAGTATATAATATTTATATACGACAAATAAAACAAATAAACTCACACACTCTCCTTATTTTTGGTGAGGTTTGAACCCTTTCAACCATCAAATCAGTTCATAAGATTTTGTTATAGAATCTATATTATAAAACTTGTATTAAAAAAAACAAAAGAAATTGAAACATAAAACCAACCACAATTTGTAAGTATTTGAAAATTTTGGGTGGATCACGAGACTTGTTGGGGCCCCGACAAATCAAGAATTTAAAATACTTTTTGTAAAATATATATTCAGATGTGTGTTTATCCGTTTAAAAAATAAATATATAATATATTCAGTAGGGGGTGTTTGGAATTGCTTATTTAAAATAACTTATGTTTTTTTTTTAATTAATTTATGTAGTGTTAAACCGGAGTTTTGTAAAAAGTGTTTGGATTAGTTTATGATGGTACTAAAACGCAATAAGCTGATAAGTTGTTTCTTAGTGTTTGACAAATTTTGCTTATACATGTAAAATGACCAAAAATGACATGTCAATGTATCTAACCCATGGTGTTTCTTAACAAAAACTAGGTTGATTGATTGTAAATTACAGCAAAGATCGATCGATTCTAAAGAGAAATTACAGAAACAGAAATCACATAAATACATAGTAATTGATTTATGTTAACAATCACAGCAAGATTGATCGATTGTATAAGGAGAAATCACATAAATACGTGAGGAGAAGAAGGTCGATAATCGATTTTGATTTCTGGTTCGATTTCTATGATTTCACAGGTTCAATTGTTGATCGCTTGAGGAAGGAGAGGCATAGGGTTGGTATTTAAAACTGAAAAGGGTTAAAGGTAAAGGGTATTAGAAAATGGTTAAAAAGATAAATTGTTAATAAGTTGAATTTGATAAGTTAGGGGAGATTGACTTATCAAAAACTGCTTATTACCGGTTTGACACCGGTATAAGCAACTTTTTTTTCTTCCTCATCCAAACACTTAAAACGACTTATTATAGGTACTACACAGGTAATAAATCAATAAGGAGCTTTTATAAGCAATCCTAAACATCCCCTAAATATTTGTTTTTTTTAAGTATATGTATTAAATATTGTTAAAAAATAAATAGTAAAGTTCACTTTTGGTCCCTAAGGTTTGTTTTTTTTTCAACGGTTTTCGTCCCTCAACTTTATTTTAACAGATTTATTTCTTAGAAAAACAAAAAAAAATGTTTAGAATGACTCAAATGCCCCTCATTTAATTGGATTTAACCAAAAAAAGTTAACAATCATTAAAGGGAGGGACCAAAACCATTCGATGTGTCAAACGTGAAAGACAAATATGTTAATATAAAGTTGAGGGACGAAAATTGTTGAAAATAACAAAATTAAGGACCAAAAATGAAAATTAATAAAAAAATAAAACGTACAAGAATGAATGGATCGCTGTAAGCACTTAACGGTAAAATTCAACTCTATATCTTATTTATCGGGCAAGATTTTAGTCTACCAAAACGATATCGTATGTAACAATTTACCCGGTAACCGCTGACCGTGGTAAGAGTCGTCGTCATCACTTACCGGGTAAGACTCTCGGTTTGTGTCTTCGCTCTTACCAGGTAAGATTCTTGATCTTTGTCATAATCATCCGGTAAGAGAATGTGACTTGATAAGCGCTTACCCGAGTAAGCATTTGGTAAACGGCCCCTAAATTACAAATTTAGTCGCTGAGGTTTTATATAAATTATGGATTGAGTCCTCCAAACAAAATAATTCCATATAAAGTCATTGTGTTTTTAATTTTGTTTTAGATTGGGTCCCTTGATCTAATGTTGTTAACTTAAGCTCCATTAAACAAACAACCCATGTGCCCCTCATGTGATGGGCTTTTTGTTATTTTACCATTTTATTTAATAACTATTTTCAATGTACAATTTTTATTTGAAATAGATTTTTACCGTACAACTTGAAATGCAACTTCTACGAGTATCATGAAGCTTAAATAAATAGGAAAAAAGAACTGTCAGTTGTCACTAACGCATTTGAGTTAATCGGGACATAGCAGTGTTGACCTCCCTATTCTCTGGCATTTCTTCGATGCCCTCCCCCCTTTCTCTAGTGCCCTTCCTCTTACCTCAACTCGTCACCACAACATCCCCTCATTGTACAACCTTTGGCCTCCCTACACCATTGATCCTAGAAAACTCGATAACCATGGTCACCACAGTGAGACTCCGACTCCATCTCCACTGAACCCAGTTATGAAAACCCCAAATCTCCATTGAAGCCGCCCCCCGCTGTTGAGAGTCATCGAACCAAGAACTAAAAACCTCATATCTCCATCCTAGATCTGAAACCCGCAAATATGAAAAAGGTTATGGTCTTCTGCATAAAGAAAATTTACCAATATCGAAGGAAGCATTCGAAGGTCTACAACGTTTACTTCTAGTAATATCCTTAGCCAAAAATCGAAGGTTATGCATATCAAGGTTTTGTTAATGGTTCTTTGATATGGAATGAATTTTAGGTTATTTGATTTAGATTTGGGATTTTTGATATTGTTGTGTTCCTGATGATGAATTTGTTGTTTGATCTTGTTAATGGAGTTATATTTTTTGTGTTCTTGATTTATTTATTTATGGCTCTTTCTTTGGTTGAGAAACATGGACAAACTGATGATGAAAAATCCAAATTTACACAAATGGGGGAAAACATGTTTTGTTATTTATTTGTTTTTCAAAAAACGAGTTTGGGTTGTTTTTATCTTCAAAAATGAGTTTTTTTCCCTTGATTTTATTCTTTAAAAATGGGTTTGCATTGCTGATTTTTTGTTGTGTGTATGAGAGATCTCTATGTTCTTGGTAGCCAGATAAGATGTAAGTTATTGGTAGCCCACAACTTGAGGCTTATAAAGAGCTCACAAATCTCATTTTCTATCCATGTGGGATGAGTTGTTACAGAAGATGACCGTAGGATGACTAGAGAAGATGACCACCATTGTGAGTCATCACCGGATAAAGGAGGTATGTCGAAGAACATATAGGAGTGTCAACTAGATGACTTTAGTTTACATTTTTTTTTCTCTCTTTAAC